ATTTTCAAAAGAATCCGTATTAAGGCATCCAAATCCCAATGATCCATTTATTATCCAAGCGGATCCAAGCGACGTGGCTGTAGGAGCTGTATTATTACAGAAGAACAATACAGGAGAGTTACAACCATGTGCTTATATCTCATGAAAATTCAATCAAACAAAACAAAATTGGACCATCTGGGAGAAGGAAGTGTATGCTCTTTGTTGGGCTTTACTTACCTGGAGGCATTTGTTGGAGGGAGGTCCACATCCATTTGAGGTGTGGACAGATCATAAGAATTTGAAAGCCCTCCAAACTCCATGTAAATTATCTCCAAAGCAAGTTTGTTAGGCATTATATTTTAGATGTTTTAATTTCATTTTGAAATATGTGCCAGCTGGGAAAATTTTCATGGTGGATACTTTATCATGATTGCCTCAATTTGATAGCATTAGAGACACCATTGTGCAACCTCTCATTCCAAATCATGAGAGTATTGATTCTTTTAGGACAAAATAATGACAAAACATCTTCCAGAGGCAATGGCAGATGATAAATGGTTAGCAGATAATGTGGAAATGCGGGATAGAATAGACTGGTGTGGAAACAAATTGTATGTGGCAAAAAAATTGAGAACATTAGTGTTAAAATGCTGCCATGATGTTAAACAGGCCGGGCATTATGGATTCCTAAAAACATTGCATTTAGTTAAGAGACAATTTTGGTGGTCTTCAATGAGAAATGATATTGATAAGTATGTTAAATGATGTCCTATCTGTGCCACCACAAAAATATGTGTGGGGAAATCCCTGGGTCTACTTCAACCAGTAGCTGAGCCCACACAACCTTGGCAGGAGACTACTATGGACTTTATTGTAGATTTACCAAATAATAACGGATATAATGTTATTTGGACAGTAATTGATCTATTCTCTAAACAGGCACATTTCACACCTTCCCTCAGCCCAACAGTTAGCTGATTTGTTGCTTAGAAATATTTATCATCTACATGGGGTTCCTAAACATTTTATTTCTGATAGAGGAGTTCAATTCACTGCACGTTTTTGGAAAGAATTAATACAAATAATCGGCTTTGAGTACGGCGTACCATCCATGTACCAATGGGGCAGCTGAAAGAGCAAATGCTGCAGTAGAACAATATTTGCGGTGTTATATTACTTACCAACAACAATTGGGTGGACTACTACCTATAGCGGAAGTGACCTACAACAACACAGTACACAGTAGTACTGGATATACCCCTTTCTATGGTTTTTCAATGCAAAGCATTAAAGACCAGAGTGGGCTGACAGCCACATTGATCAGTTATGGCATCAGCAGGCTGGGCCTGTCCTGGATAAGGATCCCGAGGCATAATTAGAGTCACTAGACAACTGTTTTTCTTCCAAATTTGTCTACACCATCTGTGGCTGCCTCGGGTGGTGTAGACAAACATGGAGATACCAAGGGCAGTAGAGCCACTGCCACTCATGGGCAGCCAAAACAGCCATCAAGACTCTGTCCAATTGGAGATTGACAATACTCCACTTAAACAAGACTCTCCAATAACATTGCAGCCGTCCACCAGGATCTATTTATTTATTTGATTTGCCAATTGTTTACAAGATAATAAGTATAAATGTATACATAGTTGTGAATACATGAAATGGGTACATATAAGAAAAATAAAAGAATAAGAGAAACAATAGGACAGGGACGGTAGGCACGTTGGTGCGCTTATGCACGCCCCCTATAGGCCTCTTAGGAAGGGGCCCCCAGCCTATCTCAAAGACTATGAATATTGAACAGACTGAGGGTAAGAACTACTCTAGGGGGAGTGGTGTTATGTATTGAATACATATAGTTGTGTTAAGCCCTGCTAAAGTGAAACTAACCTTTAGATAACCCTAACTGTTAACTCCAACTGTTTTGAAGGGAAACTTAGAACATTCATATTTGGGTGGGCTTTTTCAAGTATTATGATTGGTTAAGGTCCTGTGGGCCAGGGTATAAATTACAGGCATTTACCTGCTGTTCCTCAGTTCCAGTTTTGAGTCAATAAATGTTGTTGTAGCTATGCTGGTCTGCTTCTTGCCTACTGAAGCCCACTACCCAATAATAACTCTTGTGAATTTTCCATCTGATTTAAAAATGATTTAGAGACTGGCTTAGGTCAGAAAAGGATTAAGTTTGATCCATTCTTACTAACATTATTTTCTGATTCTCATTTCATTCTGTAAATGCATGCCATGGAAATTATCTCTAGAGTAACAAGAGAAGGGATTCCCAGGAGAAAATGGAGAAGCATTAATTTGTTTCCTTGTTTAATTTAGGAAATATCTGTTCAATCTGTTGAATTGAATTTCATGCTGTACATTTAGGATTCAAACTAGAGGAATAAACTGTTTTCTTGCAATGCAAATTTTATGACACTGGATTCCCTTTCAATCCATGGAAGGCAACCCAAGATGCAAATTAATTATATGAACAGCTAGTAAACTTAATTTACTATATAGTGAAATCTAAATTTTAAATGAAATTTGAATGAATATATTAAGCAGTAGATTCTAAATGATTATCAGTTAATGCAACAACTTCCTTATATTGGTTTTGATATCTGATTCAGATACCCTCTGTCAAAAAAACAAAAACAAAATTCAATTACTTTGAATACCAAATATATTCTAAGAGCTGTAAATATTAAGCCCAATATGTTTTTAGTGATAAACATTTTATACTTAACTTATTATGAAATGAAGATTGTCTCCTATTCATTCTGCAAGACTTTCAAAATGTTTTTTAAATAATTATTTGGTCTCTAACACAAGATTGTTCTTCAATGATAATCAGAAATATTAAATATTTGATCAAGCACTTTTGACATTGTGAAATATTTGATCTCTGTGTCATATACCAATCAAACAGTTCCAGTAAGACTACATTCCAAAAGTTTGTTTGTTGCAATACATCTTCCATAGTGATAAATGCAAACTTACGTCAACTTAAGAACAAATTGTACTCTAAATAAACATGCAATTTAGAAATCAGGTAGGACCAAATGAGCACTCAATAGTAAGATCAGAAATCTCAAGCATTATGAGATGGGTATCACACAAAAAACACACAAAACAAGCCTCTAGATTACAAAATGCTGTAAAAACTGTATAAAAGTCCACGTAATACTAAACCAAATGTTTCGCTGACCCACAACTACACCCTGTCTTTATGTGTGGTCCTGTTCATCAAAAAAATTTCTTACCAGTCAGCCTCCATGTTGTTTCCAGCATCTTTCTCCCAGCTTGATACTGAACCAACTGGATTTTTCTTCCAACGGTTGTATTAGGTAGCTAGGTAGGTAAACTTTTATTATGGTCTTGTATTAATTATGTGAATATGTATTTTATCCTTTATTCTGAGACCAATTAATACTTTCAAAGCATATTGTCTAGTCACAGCATTATACTATCATCCTACACTTCTTTCATTTGCTACTTATATTTTCTATTGACCTGTGAACCTGTAGGACAAAAGCATTTATTTATTTCCTGCAGAAGTTCAAAGCCATGTACATAGCATTATTCCATTTTTCCTCCATTATCCTTGTAAGTATGGTAGGCTGCACTGGGAGACCATGACTATCATCAAGCTGTCTAACTTTTCATGACTAAGTATTGATTTACTCCCTATCTTACTTTTTTCAGAATTTATATACTGCACTTTTTACTGCACATTGTCTGTGCAATGAGAACAATAAATGAAGCAATGTTGTCATTCCATATGTTGCAAGAATATCGGAAAAGTTCAGGAGGATCTTCAGCCAACACTACATACGTGCAAACTTCAAATCCAAGAATTCACTAAGGCAGAAGCTTGTCTACCCCAAGGAGAGATACAAACTGAGCAATGTGGTATATGCAGTAGAGTGCAGTGAGCCATGTGAACATTGGTACATTGGGGAAACCAAACAACCACTTCATAAATGCATGACATAACAAAGGAGAACAACCCATCAGGACTAGATTCAATACTCCACATGCATTTAAAAGCCACTTTTTTGAAGACAGCAAAGTCTACATTTTGGACAGAGAGGACCATTGGTTTGAAAGAGGGGTCAAAGAGGCCATCTATCTCAAAATTGAGCAGCCTTCTCTCAACAGTCTACAACACAGTCCTTTCAACAATTCCAAGAAGGCTCAACACCCATTTGCTCTACTCAGGTGACTCTGATGACACAGATAAACCTCCAGGTGGCCTTAACAACTTGCTAAAAGAATGCTGTCTGCAACTAGTGTAAATCCTTCCATTCCCCACCATCCAGTCAGAGCTAAAAAAGCTTCTTGGAGGAGAAACAAAATGTGTTTTAAAAAAATACCGGAAAGTCCAGTTGCCTCTTGAAAAAGCCTTTGGGACAAGATGGCATTTGAAATTTCAAACATTCTTTATAACACTGTCTGAAAAATATTACAGGGTTATTCTTGCTGATTTCACCATCATGTCCCTAATTCAAAATATATTTCCACCATAATTCTCTTCGCTATATATGCTGTCTTTATAATGTTGCTAAACAAGAGTTTCTTTCTGTAGTCTTTATTTTTTAAAAATGGAAATATTCAGGAGATAGAAATCTGGTATTCTCCAAAAAGAAGAAGCTTTTTGGCAACTTTTCTACTAAAACAGATGTAAGAATAACATATTGCAAAATAATTATGTTTTTTTTAAGTTCCTTTAGACCAACTTTATAAAGTTATTATATACAGAAATACTCTATATATATTCTATATAAGAAATAAAGAGTTTTTAAAAAAACAGAACTTCTTTAAAAGAATAGAAAATAAGGAATCTAGATTCGAGTCCTTGCTAAACACTGAAATTCACTGCTTGATGAATTTCACCAACTCCCAACAATCTTTTTCACAGAATAAAATGAAGGGAGATCTTTATGTGTACTGTCTTGAGCTTCCACAGAAAACATGATCTGTAAATATTATATGTAAACAAAACAAAAAAAACAAAACAGTACCTTCTCTAAGAACACAATTACATGCTCCAAGGGTATCCCGGATAGTTCTAACAATTTGAGGTCTTCTTTGTAGTTTTCTGTTCCAATGCAATTTGCAGTCTTCATAACACATACAAGTTTATGTTTTATTACACTTGGTATCTAAATCAGAAAGAGATATACTAATAATAATGAAAATAAATCCATGATTTATCCCACTGTATAGCTGTTCTTTTACTCTGGCCAAAATCTTGCAAGTATTTAGGATTAACTTTAGAAAGAAAAGGATTCATGCTACATGAGACACTGTAGAATTTTATATTTTCATAAGTTGGAGGTAGGAAACTTTTTGCAAGCAATGGCTGATTTATTGCTATATTCATAGTAAGCTCAAATGCTATAGATCTCATTCACTGAAATCAAGGTGTGTAATAAAATGTCTGAATGACCTTGAAGAATGAGGGGAAGAGATGCTGCTTAGGAAACGATCAGATAAGAGAGGGAGAACCCACAGTGGCTTAACTGTCAGAGAAACTTACCAAAGACCCAGGTACTTTCAGACTTAAAATATTGATATCAGCCCTCTCAAGTAACCCAGATAGGAAACACAACTAGATGAATTAATTATACTTTACTATAGAATTAGCAGAATTATTTAACAGAATCTTGGGGTATAAACTTTCCACTTCCACTTTAACCTACTTGACCCATTGGGACGTGCTTTCCTAAGGTATTTTTCTCTAATTGTTAAGCCACTGTAGGCTCCTGCCATTCCTATTGGTTTTCTAGGCAGCATTTCGTTCCCTTGTTCCTGAAGATCATCCAAACATTTCATTACAAGTGGAATCTTGCAGGGGTGAGTGGTGGTGGGTAGCTGCTTTAAACCTCTCTAGCCCTTAAAAAAATCCAAAGATTTTGGACTTTGGGGGACTGCTGTAGGGCTTACAAAATGGGTCCTGTCAGGTACAAGTGCATAAATGGAGCTGCACACGCATGCTTGCATGCTTCCACAGCCTGGTTCTGAATGGGCCGCAGCCTGAGGATTGGGGACCCTTGAGTCATGCCATATAATGTCACATATATTATCCACAGAAATGTAAAAATGTGCGGGGATTATATTTCCTGCTGTATCATAATATATAAATGGCTGCTCGATGCTTAACAGATCTTATTCATGATCACTGTTGCCTCTAAAAAAGTATGCACATTGAGGGTGTTCCACCTGCTCCCTGGAAGCCCTGTGTTGTGTCAATATCTTCCTAGTGACTGCACTTGGTGGCACTGCGATGTCACCAAAGTGTGTGATATCACAGTGAGGAGGCTAACGTTTTTGAAACTGGTTCAGGTTTTTTTTTAAGTATGTGAGAGTTAAAGGACTTTTAATCTTGCAAAATTAAACCTCCTTCCTATCCAACCCAAGAAAATATGAACCTAATTTGGGTAAGCAGTTATTATTTATTTTATCCCTTAAAACTCTGCCAACTTTCCTAAATGGAAAAAAATGAATTAAAAATTTAAATCCAATCATTCAGGGAGAAAAGGAACATATGTATATTATTCTTCTATCTACCTATCGATCTATCGATCTATTAAATGTACACCCATCACACCAGTAAGGTTGTTCTTATAAACAATAAGAAATGTTAAATATAAAACAATTAAAAAATTTAAAGTTACATATGAACTAAGACCAAGGAGACTGCACACTCAGGGATGAGCTGGTCTTATTCCATCTCCAGCAAGGAGCATCCCTTATAGGCACTTCAAGCCAATCAGATAAACTAAGTTTTTGGCCTCTCCAAAAGTCAGGATATGGGAACAGATCTCTGATGGCAGAATGTTCCACAAGGCAGGTGCCTCAGTGGAAAAGGCTCTTCTCCTCAATCCGGCAACCTTGAATTACACCTGGAAGCAAACTTCAACCAATGCAGTTCACGCAACTATATTATGTGCACCACCCTCTAAAGCTATCCATGCCACTACAATTGCACCAGCTGAACTTATGCATATTTTTCTAAGGTAGCTCCATGCGGAGCATATTGCTTTTCAATCAGGAGTCTAGGAGAACCCACAGATTGCACACTAGGTACATCTGGGGTAGTGCAACCCATCCAGAACTAAAGGTGATAAACAACTGGATTCTACACTCACAGTTGCTCTGCTTACCAGGGTTCAGCTGAAGCCTATTGACTCCCATCCAGATCCCTGCAGCCTCTCGGGTAGGTGTGAAAGGGTAGCCACAATGTCCCTTGGATCACCAGGGATGGAGATATAAGCCTAAGTGTCATCCACATAGTGATGATACTGTATCCCATAGTGTTGGATGATTTCACCCAGCAGTTTCATGTAATATTAAAAAAGAGAATACTGAGGCCTGTGGCATCCCACTAGGGCAGGGGTGTCAAACTGGTGGCCCATGGGCCGGATATGTCATGCACAGGCCATGCCCACCCAGCTCCACACAAAAAAAATGTGGTGAAACATCACGTGACGGCAACGTGATGTGGTGAGTTTGACACCTGTGCACTAGGGAGTGGTTCATGCAATACTGTGCGACCAGTACAATACTCTGCCATCCAAAAGGATACCATGATCGATGGCCCCAAAAGCTGCCAAGAAGTTATGGAAAGCAAGGATGGATTCATTATCCCCATCCTGCTTTTGCCAGAGATCATTCCACAAGTATGACCAATGCTGTATCTGTCCCATAATCAGGCTTGAAACCTGACTGAAAGGGGCCCAAATAATCTATTTCATTCAGGGCACTCTGAAGTTTTTCTACCACCTTCCCTAAAAGAAGGAAATGGATAGAAATTGTCTGTTCTAAGGAAGTATAAGATTTAATAAGAGATAGATTTATAAATAATGAAGGAATTTTAAACTCCAAAGTTGAACTAAACAAGGGTAATTAAAATGGTTGTGGGATAGCCAGAAATTTTCTTGACTTTGTTTTATCATGACATTTAATCATAACATAGAGAACATCTGACCATCAACTTTTTGTCTGCAATACAACTGCAAGGAACCAGCAATATCTTTTATCTCTTTACAGACCAAATCAGGTTATTTCTCATGTTAATTATTTAAGTAATTTTACTCGTAAACCAGGGGTGTCAAATTCACGGCGTCACGTTGTCATCACGTGACATATCGCAACTTTTTTCCCTTCGCTAAACCAAAGGTGGGTGTGGCCAATGCATGATGTATCTGGCCCGTAGGCTGCAAGTTTGAAACGCCCTGCTGTAAACTAACTAAACTAACACTGTAAAGTAATAACTTGATAAGTTATTTTAACTTTTAGTGTAAATAATGTTTATAGACTATGTGGAAGTAATAGTAGAATAAAAAAAATTGGGACTGACTTTTGGAATAAACAACATAATGTAAAACACAAAGTGGATTAGCATTTTTATTGTACACTGATTGGATTTCATCATTCATGGAGCAAAAATCAAAGTGATCTCATTCCACATTTCTTTGAATTTCATGCAACTCTGATTTTATATATAATCAATGTAATCTAATGCCAATTCAAACCTAAACAAATTGTTTAAAATCTTGCCCTGAATTATGTGTTATATTAAAGCCATATCAAGCAGTCCTATATAATTTTCACAAAAATTAGATGTAAATCTTTTGTTTAACTGTGGAAAAATTTGAGAAAGTTGATGGAACTAAAGGCTTGAGTGTACTATAATAGGAAAAGTTGTGTTTGTTTTACTATCACAAAATTATAATGTTCAAATAACCAAATAAAAATACTGTATGTGATTGATTTGCAGTACAGTTCAAGAGATTACGATTAAATATATCAAACAAGTAAGAGATAATCTTTTTAGGGTGATTCTCACCAAAGAACCTGCTACTTATTATCTATTGGTACTGTGAAAGAAAGACTACAAGTAGACAAGTCCACATCAACAGATATAGCAGTCCATAGTTCCATCATTGATATTTTGTGTTTCATATGGAGAAGTAATTTCCATTCTAATTGTAGGAAAATTATATTCCATTATTCAGTAGATAGTCTCAGCAAGTGGATTTATACATTGGCGTGATATAAAAAGAAAGAGAATCAGTATGTGTCTGTAATGTCACGATTGGTATTTTCTATACAATGCACGTCTTTGTACAACAGATGGGAGAAATATAGCAGGAAAAATGAACGCAGAATGTGCTTGGAAGTTCCCAGAGATAGAAAAAGGTTTTGATGTCTTCTCCGAACATGCCAGGTCATAGCGAAAATGAGTCTGCATTTGCTTATTAAGTTTCCCATTCCCTCCGCGCTTTTGAATCCATGTGACTGGATGCCCAAACATCCCCCAAACAGAAAACGAGAAAACTAGTTTAGGAACAGTAACTATGTACGAAACCATATTCCCTCCTTTTACCTTTGTCTCCATAGCCAATTCTCCGGCCACAGAGAAGTAGAAGGCCAAGAAAGCCGGGTGGTTACTCTCTAAAAAGTCCGCCACGAGCTTTTGATTCTGTTCTTCTTCCAGAAACTTGCTCCATCTGTCTTCTTTGAGCCTTAACAAATGGGCCAGGCGAAGGCCAACGAACTGCACCCGCTCGTCTTCAGCGAAACTTTTTTCCTGCACTGTCTCGTCTTCCTCGTCCTCCATAGCCAGCCTCCTTCCAACAAAGCTTATCGTCGGGCACTTCTGCGTCTCGTATGTTGTCCTTGAGATTCCTCCGCGACGCTTTGATGGCTTAACTATGCCTTAGTTTTTTTTTTCCTCCTATCCTCCGAACTCTAAGCACGGACACCTCACCTACCTCTGCTGCGCGCGCCCGCCCGCCCACGCGAGTCTTCTTTCCCCAAGACCAGCGGCAGGAGCTTCGCTCAGCTCCCCTCCATTACCGCGACGAAAGCAGCGTCCCGTTGCCCTGGGGACCAACTAAGTCACACACAAGCCACCCGCAGTTGCGGCTGAAGGGAAACAAATCACAGCTTTAGCCAATTAGGGCCACTCTTTTTTGAGGAAGGAACCACCAGCTGTAAAAACAAAACAAAAAAGTCGGAGGATGCAGCTAAGCTTTTGATGAAGAGTGGCGAAATGCACAATGCAATCCTGAGCTGCTAAAGTCTAATGCCAGCCCCCTTTGATTTCAATAGGCTTTATTCTTGGGGGGGGGGGGGGGGGGGGGGGGCTTCTGCCTTTCACGCTCAGAAAGGGTAACTACAACATATCGGAGCCTCTGCCAATACTATCGTCTGAACCTCTGAAAGAATGGATGTTGTATGTGGATGTTGTTTTGGTTATAAGCTGTTGTTAGGTACAAGATGAACAGCTATAGAAGTTCCGAAGAAAGAGCAACAGAGTTTTGTTAACACACTTGTGGATGAAGTTAATGATGAATGATAATGTATCTTGGTTGCACTTTGAGTTCTTTACATTCTAAGAGTAAGAGTACTTTCTAAGACTTGAATTCTGGGGGGATGAAATGGGAAAATAATCAACCAATAATTTAAAAATGGGTTGTGAGGTTTGGGATGGAAGGAGAGAGCTATCAACTTCTGTAAGCATTTGCCCTTTGATTGAAAACTGATTGTTTTAAGTCACTTCCATAGATAAGAGGATACCATGAAATTTATGGCTGTCTTCAGCTGACTCAAATGCCATGTGACTTCACACACCTTGGCAACTCAAGCCAATTCGTTATATAAATTAACTGGCTTGGGTTTTCCTTTCTGGGTTATACTGTAAGGGCAGATATACAGAATTTCTACTGGAATTACATGGCAGAGCAGTTTATCATTGGCAACATGAGTTACCCTATTCTGATTACAGATTATAGATTAACAAAGTTGGACCTTGTAGGTCATCCAGTCCAACCCCCCACCCAAGCAGGAAACCTTACACCATTTCTGACAACTGGCAAACCAATCTCTTCTTCAAAGCCTTCAGTGATGAAGTTCCCACAACTTTAGAAGGCAAGCTGTTCCATTAGTTGATTGTTCTCACTGTCAGAAAATTTCTCTTTATTTCTAAGTTGAATCTCTCCTTGATCATCCATTATTCCTTTCCTGGCCTTCAGGTAACTTGGAAAATAGCTTGACCCATTCCTCTCTGTGGCAGCCCCTCAAATATTGGAACACTGCTGTTGTTTCTCTTCTGGTCCTTCTCTTCTCTTCACTAGACTAGCCATGCCCAGTTCCTGTAACCATTCTTCATGTTTTAGTCTCCAATCCCCTAATCATCCTGGTTGCTCTTCTCTGCACTTTTTCTAGAGTCTCAACATCTTTTATATAGTGTGGTGACCAAAACTGGATGCAGGTGTGGTCTTACTAAGGCTTTATAGAGTGATATTAGTACCTCACTTGATCTTGATTGTATCCCTCTGTTAATGCAGTTTATGATTGCATTGGCTTTTTTGGCTGCTGTTGCACATTGCTGGGTCATATTTAGCTGGTTGTCCACTAAGACTCCAAGATCTGTCACACAGTTACTGCTATTAAGCCTGGTTTTACCCAGTCTGTATATGTACTTTTGGTTTTTCTTTCCTAAGTGTAAGACTTCACTTTTCTCAATCCTGAATTACGTTTTGTTAGATAGTGCCCAATGTTCAAGTCTGTCAGGATCCATCTGGATCTTGAGGTTATCTTCTAGAGTGTTAGCTATTCCTGCCAGCTTAGTATGATCCTGCAAATTTGGTAAGTTCCACTTCTATTCCCTCATCTAAGTCGTTTATGAAGATATTGAAGAGTACCGGGCCTAAGACAGAACCTTGTGGTACCCTACTGCTTACTTCCCTCCATGTAGATCAAGGCTCCCCAAACTTGGCAACTTTAAGACTTGTGGACTTCAACTCCCAGAATTCTCCAGCCAGCTGGCTAGAGAATTCTGGGAGTTGAAGTCCACAAGTCCTAAAGTTGCCAAGTTTGGAGACCTCTGATGTAGATGTAAACCCATTAAGGACAACTTGTTGAGTATGGTTTGTCAGCCAGTTCTGAATCCATCTGGTGATAATGCTATCTATCCCAATTTTTCTAGCTTACCAAGAAGTAGGTTGTAGTCTACTTTGTCAAATGCCTTGCTGAAGTCTAAGTATATTATGTCCATAGTATTTCACTGGTCTACACTATTTAGCTGGTTCAACTATGTTGAAGAATGAAATAAGATTGGTTTGGCATGATCTGTTTTTAACAAACCCATGCTGACTGCTAGTTATTACTTTACTCATTGCAGATGTTTGCAGATCCATTTTTTTATTATTTTTTTCAGTATCTTCCTGGGTTTTGATGTTAGGCTGATTGGTCGGCAATTTCCTGGGTCTGTTTTTTTTAAAACCTTTTTTGAAGATGGGACCCACAGCTCTGCCTCCAGAAACCAAGAGAGTTGCCCTGGTGCCTTGCCTTTCTTCCCTCCTCTGTCTGTCTAGATCTGTATCTGTCTGTCTGTATGTCTCTACACAAACACACACACACACACTTTACATAATTTACAATGCATTTTGTTGCATAAATATGGGTTTTGCAACAAAATGCATTGTAAAACTGCAGCAAGGAGAGAAATATATTGTACTAATATTATACTGTAGAGAGAAACATTTGTAAGTTAGCTAAAAAGAAAAAGAAAAAAAACATTTAAGATTAAAAGAAGTAGAAAAATGCTGACTGTGATAGATATTTTTTTAAATGTTATAGAAGTGATTGAAAAGAAGTGAAAGAGGAGGTCCAAAGGTCAATGGAATTAGAAACAAAAGCAACATAATGATTTGAGATAAAAACGGAATTGGAGAAATGCTGAAATATTTTAAAGATTTATATGAGAATGATAGTGATCTGTTGTAGAACATAGTGCGGTTTAAAAATGTGTGAATCCTTTTTAATTTTCAATATTTATGCATAAATACATATGATTTAAAATGTGATCTGTTTCCACCTATCTATAATAGTATATCAGTATACCATGTTAATTAGTTCTAGCAAGTGCAATGAATACAAAAATGATGAGTACTAAACAAATTTTTTCCATAAGGAATAACATAGTGAGTCATAAAGAAGCCAACACCAACAAGTACTAGCTTGTGTATTGAGTACCAAACAAACAGGAAAACATTTTTACATCAAAATTAATTGAATACAAAATTCTATGAGTTTTAAAGCAGTTGAGTACCAAGGCACCAATGTAGTTCTAAAACTAGCTCAATTAAACAAATGATTCGGAATATTATATTTGCTCATTTATTTATTGAGGAAAGTGATCCAAAGTTATATTTTTGTATATAGTAAAAAATATGTGAACTTTGGCTTTCAATAACTAGTGTGTATATTAGGGGACGCAATGGCTCAGTGGCTAAGACATTGACTTGTCGGTCAGAAAGGTCAGCAGTTTGGGTGTTTGAATCCCTAGCACCGTGTAACGGAGTGAGCTCCTGTTACTTCTCCCAGCTTCTGCCAACCTAGCAGGTCGAAAGCATGTAAAAATGCAAGTAGAAAAATAGGTATTTTATTAAAAATTGAGAATGTCTACAGAAATTCTCAGTTATCCATTCATTAATTCATTAAAAAAAATTTCATCTAATTTAATTGGAATAGTTTGAAAGAGAAATAGTATTCTTGGCAAGATGTTCATTTTAATGGTCGCAATTCTCCTTAGCATTGATAGTTGTAGCTTCCCCCATTTTTCTAAATCCTTTTTTATTTCTAGTACTAGTTTTACATAATTATACTTATATTGTTGAACATCTTGCCATAAGCCAAATTCCTGGATATTTAATTTTTTTAACAATTTGTATGTCCATTACCTCTTCTAATTTCTTTCTTTTTTGTTTCTTTGTTAAATTTTTTGTTATCATGTTGGTTTTATCCTTATTGATTGTTAAACCTGCCACTTCTCCATATCTCTCTATCTCTTTAATTAACTTTGGTCCTGACTTTATTGCTTCTTTTATGAATGAATGAATATAACTTTATTACGGTCTTAGACCAGCAATAGATATCACTATTTACAATATACATAAAAATACTGACACATTATAATACATTAATAGTGGATAAAAAACATCTGTTAAGAAAATACATTTTCTCAAACACTAGGGGCACTCCCTGGTTTATATGAGTGGAGAGCCAATAAGTATGCATGTAAATATCATTTTCCAAAATTTGCTCTATCTCCAAAAATTGTCACAAATTGACAACTATAATTCTGTAACCAGTTTTTTTCTAGTAGACATTGCGGCAACACAGAATTTTGCCACTGCACACGTAATAGCTGGGTTTGAATCCTGGAGGAGAAAGTCTACATAAAAATTGTCTGCCCTCCCTGGCAATCTCTCTAGTAAGAATATACAATGACCGATATACTCTGTATAACTCACAGTACAATAAAACATGTGAGATATCTTCAACTTCTCCTTTACCACATACCCATACCAATTCTGCTATTGGTGTTTTTTTATACCTGCCCTGAAGGAATGCTGATGGGAAAATATTAAATCTGGCTCTGAAGAATGCTATTCTTTGTTTTGGGAAGATGAAATCATTTAGATATCTTGCTGACTCCCATACTCCCTGTTTAATTCTGTCCCTGCTGTGGCGAGCCAACCTATTTAGTTCTTCTTGGAACTCCATGTCCTTCATTCTATTGATTACTACTTGCTTTGCTTGATCAAAGCC